ACTGCCCCCATGACAAGCTGTATGAGGTAATTATTATGAACAGATTCATGGATTACCTATGGGAAGCCCATTATCCCCCCTGATTTCTGAAATCTACATGACATCACTAGAGGAAGAAGCTATTTTAACCACTCCTTTTCAACCGCTAGTCTGGCTCAGAAGGGTTGATGACATCTTCGTCATGCTAAAAGAAGAAGAAGATGCGATCGTCCTCCTGAATCACCTCAACAACCAACATCCAAGAATGAAGTTTACCATTGAAAATGAAACCAACAGCAGCCTCCCATTTCTTGATGTACTGGTAAGAAGAGAGAACGCCAATATCACTACCTCAGTGTACCGAAAACCAACACATACAGATCAATATATCCACTACCAATCTAATCACCCCATCAGCACTAAAGAAGGCATTATCACCACTTTAACCAAAAGAGCCAAGAATATTTGTGACCCTGAATCCCTTCCCGAAGAAATTCAACACTTAAAAGAAGTATTCACCAAGCACAACGGATACCCAGAACAAGCTCATCAATGCCACACTATCCGACCTACCAAAACCTGATAAACCCAAAAACGATAAACCTCCAATTAGAATCTTCATACCCTTCCACGGCAACATCTCCCACCAAATCAGAAGATTATTGAAAAGGGAAGCACATATTGAAACCACTTTCTTGAAGGGCGCAACAACCAAAGACTTAGCAAAATCCAATGGAAAGTTGAACCCCACCAAACCCTTCTCATCAAAAGGCTGTGTCTACAAAATTAACTGCAGTTGCAGAGAAAGTTACATTGGAGAATCTAAAAGACCATTAGATATCCGACTGAAAGAACACATGTCAAAAGCCCCCACCAACCAATCTGCAGTTGCTGAACATCTGAATGACAACCCACGGCACCGTATCGATTGGACCAAAGTTAAAACGTTGGCTGTGAACCACCACAACAAAAGAAACAGAAGAATACATGAGGCGATCAACATTAGAAGACATAAACCGAAACTGAATCGAGACCCAGGCGTCTATATCCCCAGAGCATATGACCGCATTATCAAATTGTAAACACAGTCCCCCTAAGTAATTCCGCATGCAAAACCATATATAACTACTGGCATTTTCCAATACTGAATCGATTGTATATTCCATACCCACAACCCTCACATTTTATAATCCTCTGTTATCAATATGTAAAATTTGTATGTTTCAATTATTTTCTACAATTTATTTAGCTAATCACAGTATTTTATGTCTATGTAACCAAATTACAATATCTTACCGTTCATATTTATAATTATAAAAAGGTTTCATCATAGGGCATTCGGCTTAATTTATCATTATTTATTTATATTTTACTCAACACTTTGATATATATTCACCTTGTAAATACATATATGCAACTTATTACTTAACTATAAAACACAACCATAAAATTCTATATTTCTTAACTGTTATAATCAATGTAAAGAATATGGTTTCGATATAATTCTATAAACCCTCAGTTTGATCTTCTTGAATGTTTATTTAGTCAATCTTAGTATATACTGGTTTCAGTTATGGTACACTGTGTATGGTTTCAATATTTGTTAATCTCGGTTAATCCCCTGTTTCATCTTTTAATTGTACAATAAGCCAACTCTAATATATATGATTATGCACCTTTGTTACATCAATAGCTTGTTATAGCTAATCATGCTCACTCACCTTGCATTCCATTGGATAGTTCGCACTGATGTTTGTATATATATTCATATCTTTCTCATATCTTCATTGTCTACGATATCACCTTAGGTGGAAGTGGACGTAAAACCCCAGAAACGAACGAATCATATACTTGCTTGTCTACGATATCACCTTAGGTGGAAGTGGACGTAAAACCCCAGAAACGAACGATCATATACTTGTCTGCGATATCACCTCGGTGGAAGCGGACGTAAAATACAACTAACTCATCATCATCATCATTTTTTTATATAGTTGTCTACGATATCACCTTAGGTGGAAGTGGACGTAAAACCCCAGAAACGAACGAACGAATCATTTTTTATCTATTTGTGTATATGCTTGATAACGACTTGTGAAACCTTGTTGAAACGTCGCAGTGAAATAAACCATAGTAATTGTTATCCATAAAAGTGTGTTTTTGATTTTGATGCCCGTTTTCATTAGTCCAGTCGGGGTAGACAAATAGGACTTTAAACCCCATTTCATTCAACTGGTCGCACTAATCCAATCTGTTTCACAGAAGATTACAAAAGTCTTCTAATATCTCTGTAAAAGATGACTACCTTCAACACGTGACGTCTCATCACGCGGCGTCAATCATTGGCTCAATGGCGCGTGCATATGTTTACATAAGACGCTACTAGTTCGGGCGGAATGGAGTCTTTTACTCATTTTAATACCCATTTACACTAAATAGGAAATAATTATTACCTACAAATACGTCAAACGTCTTTATTTATTTTTCTAATATATAAAAAAATGTTTAAGAATTTAATTTGTCGGAAGAAAAAAGTTAATATTTGTGGCTCATTAAGTCGCATCGATGTCATCCTTATCAGTGATTGTCGCGGCCTAGCGAATATTCACTGCTGATCAGGACCCTGTTTCACGAAATTTTAACTAAAGATAAAATACAAATTTTAGTAGATACTTCAATTTTGATTGGCTAAGCACTAAAATCAACCTAATATTATCCAATCAAATTACTAAAATTTGGGTTTTACCTTAGTTAAAATTTCGTGAAACAGGCCCCAGTGTGGCACAAATCGTGGACACTACACTACAGCATTACGGCCGGCAATCCAATCCTCCCACTATGGTTCAAATTGTTTTGTCGTTCTGATAGTCAGTTTGTCGGGAATAAAAATCGACACGATTTGTTAACATCAGTTCTAGTGTGTTCGTGAGACAGTTGTTAATGATGCCGGGTAATTGTCGTATTGACAAACACATCCATCACAATCACCAAACAACTTTCATGTCTATAAAGACACAAAACACGTGACCATTAAAATGGCTTCTCCAACAACCCTCCACGTGTTTCCATTAAACACCGGAAGTGGGTCACTATAGATGATCTTTATAATAAAAGGCTTGAAACAGCTCTTCTATATAGTAACCTCTTACCGGAAATGGTTGTCATGGTCATCACTTGAAGGAGATGTGTTAATTCTTTTAACCACCCATGGTTTCCATAATGACGTGACGTATTTCAAGCTTGGAGAGAGAGAGAAATGGGGTTTAACGTCCACTCCACACAAACTAGGTCATTTCGGGACTAACATATTGTTTAATTTTATTTCAATAATTCGCTTGCGCATATGGGTCTTTAGCAGTGGGAGGAAACCGGAGGACCCGGAGAAAACCCACGAGGTTGGACAGGCGACCCTACTCCTTGTCACGTATAACCGGGGATTCGAAACCACGCCAGTCGACACAATGACAGACTTTATGATACAGCGCGCGCACGCCAACCATTCAGCCATCCAACCCCCCTGTATTTCAAGCTTGGAGTGTGTTATAATACATGGCATGGTCCGTGTGTCCACTTATTCATTCAGACGTATTTCAAGGTGCAGAGGGGGGGGGGGCGGTGGTTCAGTGAGTAAGACGTATTTCAAGCGGGGGCGGTGGTTCAGTGAGTAAGACGTATTTCAAGCGGGGGCGGTGGTTCAGTGAGTAAGACGCCGGTTCGCTAGCCTGGACGTCTCGGGTTCCATCCTAATTTCATTTCGTTGTCCAGAATAGAAATGAAATGGGGTCTAAAGTCCTACTGTTCTGCTCCTATGCTGGGCTAATGAAGACTTTCAAACGCCATACAGTGTGCTATGAGGGAAATTTTGCCCGGACAGCGGCACTACGGCCTACTCTTATATCGAATTCCAACTGCCAAGGGATCTTTTACGTGCACGCCAATGTGTACACGGGGCCTAGGTTTTTCGTCCCATCCGAACGACTAGACAGCTGTCCCTGTCAGGCCCTCCGTCCTGCATCACTGGATGAACTTTCTAGGCAAATGCAGTGATCGAACACCAGACCTCCAAACTAGCGCTCTGAGAGGGTAAGTGCTAAATGATAAGGCCAGCTCAATTTTTCGTCATAGGTCACGAGATGTAAACAGGGCTAGCGCAAATCCCAACCCGAACCCTAACCCTGGACCTAGCCCCAATGCTTACCCTAACCCTAATATACAATATCGTAAACAATCAAGTGCCCTAACCTTATTTACATCTCAGCGACCTTGAAAAATTGAGCTGGCCTTAGCAAATAGATTTAGCCTGTCAACTACACGTTGACAAAAATTGAGCTGGCCTTGGCAAATAGATTTAGCCCTCTGGGAGTTCTGTCATTACGTGACGGTATTTTTGCAAGACTAAAGTAATCTATACTACATCACATTAACACCCAGTCGTCGCCAGTTAACAGATTAATTTCGTTCTACAACCAAACATAAAAAAACTCCGCCTAATAGTAAAACCACATATACGACTTCCGGTGCGACTAGACACGGTTAACCAACTCAATAAATTACATTTGATATGTGACCCTTTTATACTCGATCAATTGGTCACCGACAGAGAAAAGTGATTTCACATCACAGAGGAAACTTAAGTTTAAAGGTACTGAACTTCTATTCTTTGAGACATAAATATGGACGATGTTATGTAATTTTTCTCCCTCCCCACCCCTTTTGCGTGGCGAGTTTTTCCGATTAAAATGAACCAATAATGGATTCTAATCCGCTTATTTATTGTCAAAGATTATGGATGATCTTGAGTTGGAAATTGAGCAAATTTAATTCACGGGACGAGCAGAATATTAATCAAAAAGGAATCGCAGCCATCTTAGATATGTCATGCGTTCATCCATGTGGACACAGATCACCAAAAAATTCCTACTTTGGTCACCCACGAAACAAGTCCCAATCTAAAAATAGACTAACTTTCCCTTATTTTTTTTCTCCCTTTTTCAGACGTTTTTTTGTTTTTTTTTAGATGTGGAATTGTTGTCAAGGTTTTGAATTTTGAATATTTAGCCAGTTTTGGTGGGAAAAGAGGATATTTGTGCGGAAGAATAACATGGGTAAAAGGGCTTGAAAGACGTCTCACATTGAACCGGAAGTACAGAATTGACCCCAGTCTACTTTAACTTTTCCTAATTTGAGATTTCCATGAAGAACCTCATACATGCTTCGGAGGAGATGACTGCCAGGTGCTATACTTTATGCCTTGTGAAGGAATTAGCTCAACGAATATTGTGGAAAGAGTTACAGATTGTGACATGAGCTTGAAATAACATTGAAGTCAATGGGGCAATAGTTGGTGATCTGTGGCCTGTCTATAGTGAATGGAACAAATTTTACATTTTTTGCTGTGATCACAGTTTTGAAGATTTTTACTTGAAATTTTCAGAGCAGGTACAGTTGACATTGTAGTTATTATAATCACCTTTATTTCTTATGCATTAAGTCTAAATTAAAAATTTCAGGCACTTGCATTAAATTTTCGGTTTGTTTACACTCGTCTATTCATGAAAGTCACTAATATTGGATGGAACAGTGTAGGACAATGTTTATTATGTGTTTTATACTGGATTCTACCACTTTAGAAAGCACATGTTTTAAAATGGCAGCACCATTTGCATTTTATGCTAAAAAAATCAACATATTTTCTGAAATGTCTGTCAACGGCCAATGTAAAATTTGGCAGGGGTCGAGGACCTCAAACAACAAATATGGCATTATTCGTGTGAAGTGTCCAGACGGTATATGGCGCACTAGAAAAGCACATGTATGGTCTACACCGCATTAGATTTCACTTTACCAGTTGACTTGGATTGCTCACATCTGTGTCATAACAGCCTGTGTGTCAATCCAAGTCACCTGAGTTTAGAGCCTCATCATATTAATAATAATAGACAAAGATGTAAAGCGTTTGGATTTTGCACAGGGCATGGCCAATACGGCATGTGTTTCTTGCATTTGATGCTTTTGTAGGTGGGTATTGACAACTTTTATGGCATGTTTTGCTCTTGTTTTGTTTTGTTGTTTTTTTGTTTTTTTTGGGGGGGGGGGGGAGGAATGTTCGCTGGAAATACTTTAATACATGTATTTCCATTACCGGTTGAAACCACGGGGAGGTCTTCCTTCTTATTCAACCATATGAGTTTTGTTTTTTTTTAAGTTATTTTTTCTGTTTCTAATGTCACTATTCTATGGCTATGTTATTCATTTCTCTATTCAGACGTCAAAATCTGAGTTCACAGTTCAAGACTGCGTGTATGAATGATCCTGCAGGGCTTCCTCTTGTGTTTCCGTCATCATGCCATCTGGTAAGTTTATGTCCAATTGCCCTTTCTTATAGCCAGAAACAGCAGAATGTGTCTGCTTGTATTTAGCAAAGTCATACAGTTTTCTTCCCCTAGACCACAGTGCACGCCTTTTGACTCCCGGTCTGTGTTTGTAGTTTTTCTGGTAAATCCGTTCATTCTCCATTTGATTTAAGGACTTTTTTGTTTTTGGGGAAAGGGAAGCACCAACATTTCTGGCCTTTTTTTCCAATGATTCCCTAATGCCAATATTGTTGCGTAAAACTGTTGACGATAGCCTGCCCATAGCATTTCTTCCAAAATTTACATTTTTGGGTAGGGATACACTTAGAGACCGATTCAGCGCCTCACATTTTTGTGTATTTGTTTGATATCTGGTTTTTGAAATGGCTTCCTGGCTAAGTCTAATTTTCAGGATCTCATGTAATATTAATTTGTCATTTTCATTCATTTGCAGAACAGTTATATTGTTAGAAGCCAGGAATATGGAACGTAGCCACCACGAATTGTGAAAACCACCCCCACAGACTACTGAACAGTTACGGCATTTCGAACAGTCACCATCGTAGCACTTGACAGTTGCCTCTAGGATTTTAGGTAGGCGTTTCTTGATTTCTTGCAGGTCTCCACAGAGGTTGTGAAACAATTCTTTTACAACGAGACTACATCTGGCCTTGACATCCTGACTGAAGATTTTCTTAATCCGCAATTTTTCTAGTCTTGTTTTTCCCAGGAACATGTCATCGCTAAACTTTGCTCTGCTGCACTGTCTAAACTGGGAGGCAGCCAGGTGTGTGGGATCTGCTAGCCTCTCCACTTTCCACATCGGATGTAAAGTTTTTAAACTCTCCTCTATTCCCTCTGCAGATCTTCCATCTCCGTCTGTTGTCACACATTTGACAAGGACGTCCTGTAGAGCAAACTCCTCGCCTAAATTTCTACCCATGTGTAGCTCGGAAAGTGGAGCCTCAGCTGATAAGTTGGCCGTGCATCCTTCGTGGCCCCCTGGGCAATCTACAGAAAGCCCTTTCCCCTTCAACCAGGCTCCAGTCCAACAGAGTTTGTTTTGCATAACTGCCCCTAAAATGTACTGATTTTTTGTGCTTGTTTCACATGCAAGAGCTATTGCCTGTGAAGCCCCCTGGCCTGGCTTTTTGCTATGCCCAATTGTGATACAGTTGTATCTGCCATCAACAGCCACGTTTATTATATTTGGTTCTCTGGCCCCCCCTTTTGCATTGATGGCTTTAACCTCATCAACTTTTTCCTTCATGCACCGGGCATTTAACTCAACGGTTTTTTCACTGACGGTCTTGGATAATTTCTGCATACTGGTCCGAGATGGTGGCGGAATGTCTAAACCAGCCAACATAAGCCTGGCCTTGGTGTTTCCAATGGGCATATCCAACAAACCAGACTGTAGTGTTAAGTTAATAGCAGCAGCTTTCCGTCCCTGTCTGCCTGTATCTACCTCTACGTATAATTTGTAAATAGGAAACTGAATCCGCATTTGGTGCATCGAATCGAATACTTCCAGCCTGCTCCCCGTTTCTCCTCGGTGGCTATTTCAAAATTTGGCATTAAGCAAGCTTCTTTCTCCAATTGGAAGTGAAGTTTGATCACTGAATTCCACATGTCAACCATTTTTTCAATGTTGATGATTCTGTTTCCCTCAATAGCATCCATGTTCTTACTGTCATCATCTTGTGTTTTTTTAGGCTTGGATCTCAATTCTCTCCTGCTGCCAGAGCCCATGTCATCATAAAAAGGAAGAAGAAAGTGTCTCAGAAGTATTTCCAGGGTCAGCTGTGGATGTAGATGGAATGTCATAATCGGTTTGTGTACCTGTTGTTGACTCTAGCAACTTTTTCGGGTGTTTTACATGGCCAGGCTGGAATAAGGCATGTGTTCGTTTCCTCAACTCTCTCATTTTCTTCGAATAGACCTAACTAAATTTTTTGCTTGCTTGTGTGCTGCTATATTAGCCAGGGAAGTTGTAAATATCATTGTCAGTCTGTAGCAGTTGTAAGGTGTGGCTTGGAAGACAGGATTATGGTTGGTCAAGCATCTATCGGATTCCATTCCAAGGGGGGTGGGATCATAAACATGTTGTCTTGTTATGTAATTAGATTATTTTAAACTAATTGGCCTGTGTTGTTGCAGTCAACTGGAAGATGTATCAGAAATAATTACCCTTGTTGGTTTCAATAATTTAAAAATCTCAAAATTTAAAAAAATTCTGAATGGACAATACACATTTTTTATATTTTTCAAGCTCCTTTTGAATTCAATTATGAAAATCATTTTACAAAATGTAATTATTTTGATAAACAGGCAAGTTATAAAGGAATGAAAATTGTAGATTTGCAAATTTACCGACCTCAAAGAGCATAAATAGTGGAAATATGTACACATTTGCAAGTAACCCATTATCTGTCTAAAAATGCATATATTTCCATGTCTTTTGGACATGGTGTAGGTGATATGGTCCAGGATGTGGGAGCATAAGTTGTTTTGTAAATATAACAAACTTCATCCCTATATAGGACACAGATCACCAAAAAATTCCTACTTTGGTCACCCACGAAACAAGTCCCAATCTAAAAATAGACTAACTTTCCCTTATTTTTTTTCTCCCTTTTTCAGACGTTTTTTTGTTTTTTTTTAGATGTTGAATTGTTGTCAAGGTTTTGAATTTTGAATATTTAGCCAGTTTTGGTGGGAAAAGAGGATATTTGTGCGGAAGAATAACATGGGTAAAAGGGCTTGAACCGGAAGTACAGAATTGACCCCAGTCTACTTTAACTTTTCCTAATTTGAGATTTCCATGAAGAACCTCATACATGCTTCGGAGGAGATGACTGCCAGGTGCTATACTTTATGCCTTGTGAAGGAATTAGCTCAACGAATATTGTGGAAAGAGTTACAGCTTGTGACATGAGCTTGAAATAACATTGAAGTCAATGGGGCAATAATTGGTGATCTTTGGCCATGTGGTATTCCAATTATCTGCCCTTGATTGTAGCTTGATTCTACGAACCAGTTTACAAACGTATCTTAGCCTCATTGCTTACGTTCAGAAAAGATATGGCGGCTTGTTTGTTGCAACGATCCGGTTTCCTCCCACTGCTAAAGACCCCTACGCGCAAGCGAATTATTGAAATAAAATAAAACCATATGTTAGTCCCGAAATGACCTAGTTTCTGCCGAGTGGACGTTAAACCCCATCTCCCTCTCTCTCTCTTTGTTGCAACAAGATGAGAGCTACTTCCCTTCGCCAACTTCCTTTGTATTTAACGATTGTTTTGATTGGTCGATAAAAATAGCACAGTCATCAATGGCAGATAATTTGAATACGTGTCTCCCCCCATAAATTAACCCAGGGTATAGTGGAGTAGAACGGAATGAGACCACTGGGGTTACCGAGGATGGTTAATAAACGGCTTTATAATTAATTCAATCTACTTCATTATAATTAATTCAATCTACATTATTTTAAACATACATTATGCAAGAGCTACATCTGTCTATTGTAGGCCTTTCTTTAGGCCTGAAATGTTATCTAAATTATTAATTAGACATTAATTAACCTATCCAGACCATAGTCAACTCTAGATGGCATGGCTAGCCTGCAATCTTTAGTGAATTATGAGTCGACTACTGCATAACTTTCCTTCACGATTTAACGATTAAATGGACAATCGAGACTATGCTGTTTATCGTACTGACTTTAGTAATGATGATCGAGGCTAGGCGGAAATTTCAATCGCTTAGTCCTCGGTTCATAGTGGATCAATTTGAATGAAATTTTCAGCAAATTGCCTTTACATTATCTAGTTTTTAACTATTATAGTGAGAACTGCCAACTCGTTATCGAATCTCCCATAATGTATCTTTAATCTAAAAGTAATGGCTGGTATATACAAATGTGACAATAATTCGTGTTCAAGCTCTATAACTCCTACATTAATACTAATTCATGTTCAAAAGTTTCAAAAATGAAAAACAACATTCCCTGTTAAATGACATTTATTTATGTTCCATTAACCTTTCCAGGGTGAATTAGCATGTATCTCATCTAATAGTGAAATGAAATGAAATGGGGTTTAACGTCCTACTGTTCTGTACCTACCGGGCTAATGAAGACGCGCTGACGCCATGCAGTGTGCTATGAGAGATATTTTGCCCGGGCAGCGGCGCTTCAGCCTGGTATTCGTTAAACTCCAACTGTCAAGGGAGAGATAGTAATGGGGTTTAACGTTCACTCGACACAAACTGGGTCATTTCAGGACTCAATGATTGATTGAGAAGAGAAGTTTGCAATGGTACTTAAAAGGTCTGGTTCTAAAACAAACACAATAGACTAAAGTTAGCAGGAAATCTTCATAGCTTGTGTTTGACAGGTAACACTACTCCATGCCACTAACTAAATATATATATAAGTCACAAATATAGGTCTCAAATATTACCTTTTTTCCACCGACAAATTAAATTCTAAAACATTTTTTTTGGATGTATTAGAAAAATAAATAAAGACATTTGACGTATTTGTAGGTAAAAATTATTTCCTATTTTGTGTAAATGGATATTAAAATGACTAAAAGGCAGCATTCTGCCCGAAGAAGTAACGTCTTATGTAAACAATTCGCGGGCCATTCAGCCAATGATTGACGCTGCGTGCTGTGACACCACGTGTTGAAGGCAGTCATCTTTTACAGAGATATTAGAAGACTTTCGTTGTTCTCTGTGAAACAGATTGGGTTTCACTGTTTCGACTAGGCTTCTCTACTCATTATCATATATTGACTAGAGAAGCCTAGTTGAAACGTCTCTCAGTAATAAGCAGTAATTGTATTCCATAGAAATGTCACCTGTATACTCCAGTACAATTACTAAATGCCATTGAAACAATTTAACTAAATATAGACTTACAACAGAAAGAGAGAGGGTGAGAAATGGGGCTTAACGTCCATTCGAAACAAACCAGGTCATTTCGGGACTAACATAAGGTTCAATTTTATTTCAGTAATTCGCTTATGCGTAGGGGTCTTTAGCAGTGGGGGGAAATCGGAGGACCCGGAGAAAACCCACGAGTTTGGACATGCGAGCTTACCCCCGGTCACGTACAACCGGGGAATCGAATCCACGCCATTTGACGCAATATCCAACTGTCAAGGCAAGGGGTCTTTTACGCTCACGCCAACATGTACACGCGTCCTGTATCACTAACAAGACGCTGGAAAATACCTGGCAACTGTTTCGGGATTGAAATATGGATCAGTGAGTCGGCGTCTAACGCATTGAATCACAACGTCGCCCGTATCTAGAAGTGATAATGCTACTAATTCATGTAAAAACATACTACATTTCACAAACCGGTAAGTTAAAAGGCGTGTATTAATGTTGCATAAACCATCCAAAGTTTTGTGGATAGTTTTAGAAATGGGTGAATTAGCAAGCAATGAGTCGTATATATCCAGAAGTAGTATAGCTATTAACTCGGCACAAACCAATCCAATATCTTAATAGAATTAATGTTATCGACATTAAAATACAGATCTATATTTCGTTTCGTTTTTTTTTATACTCTCGATGGCCTACACTACATGAAGCTCTGACCGATTGTACTGGAAGGTCGCGTCAGAGGTCATGCGAGCGGCTTTTGATCCTATGACGTCAGACATTGATTAGTCAATCAGCGTTGACGTTTCTAGTGGTTTACCCATAGTTCCGTGCATCGTACGCCAAGACGTCGCCGTAACAGATGGTCTCATTGGCTAATCCCTCATATCAACCTGAACGTGAGTTATATACTATTCAAAAAAAGTAGGGGATATTTGATTTTTAAGTGTTATTAAAGTCACCTAATGAAACTGACGAAGAAACAAATGACAAAATGAAATGAAGTTCACATTCATCGATTTATTCCAAAAGATCGTTAGACTAAGTAAGGCACAGACTGACCATTATAAGGGTAAAATGATACCCGGGGTCAAACAGCAAAGTTACCACAGCATCACAACCAAGTCAGTAACGGGTAAATCCTCCTCTGTTTGCCAAACAAGCATTGATCCGACGTGGCATACTCCTAATGAGACGTCTAAGGTCATTTTGGTCCAGATTGTCCCATTCCTGTTGCAACGCAGCAGCAAGTTCTTGGACATTGGCAGGACGTTGTTGACGTTGACGTAACCTCTGTCCAAGCATGTCCCAGACATGCTCTATGGGGGAGAGGTCGGGACTCAGTGCTGGCCAAGGTAATGTGGTGATGTTCTGTTGTTGGAGATAACCTGTAACGATCCTGGCCCTGTGACATCTTGCGTTGTCATCCTGGAAGATGAAACGGCGGCCATGACGTCGTGCGAACGGCACAACATGGACTGCCAAGATGTTGTCCCGGTAGTACTGGCCTGTAACACGCCCTGCAACAACATGTAAAGCCGTTCTTCCAGCAACAGTGATGCCTCCCCACACCATAACAGAACCACCCCCAAATCGATCATGTCTGATGACGTTAACGTCTTGGAAGCGCTCGTTTCGACGACGCCACACCCTTCTACGTCTGTCCAAAAAATCAACAGTGAACCTTGACTCATCTGAAAACATCACATTGCTCCAGCGTCGATTATCCCAGTGTTGACGATCCCTACACCAACGACGTCTTGCCTGAATGTGATGATCTCTCAAACAAGGGATCACGCGAGGACGTCGGGCGCGAAGGTGACCCCTATGCAGTCGATTCCGAATCGTCTGGCCACTCACTCTCACACCAGTGTCTGTTTGAAGACGAGCGCTGATCTGATTTGCTGTGATGACACGATT